AAGAGAAATTCTATTTCTTTTGTTCTATTTGCAAATGTGAACAAAGAGAAAGGGCTTATGTGTACCTGACCAGAACCGCTGACTGTGTCTCTTCAGACCTCTCCCCACCGCAGGGCAGGTGGGACAGCTCCTGGGGAAGGCTGCACCCTCCCTGAACAGCAGCCCGGGCCCACGAGGGAGGGGCTGGGAGCCCCGGGAGTGGCCCCTGGGCATTTTTTCTTCTGCGCTGAAAATCTGCACCTAGTTAATTGTCTGTAATTTTTTTAAAAAATCAATAAAAATGAGTTTTAAAACGAAAAAACACATCAAAGTGATACTACTACTAGGAGACTCCTGCAGGGAAATGTGGTCTCTCTCTCTGTGAACCTGAAACAGTATCCCTTTGTCCCTATGAAGAAGGATGCCTTACACATACAGAGTTTGATCCAAAAGCAAAAGGACACTGAAATTCACAAACAGTCCTGAAATCAGGCTCACAGAACGCTCCTGTGGCTCACACTGGTGACAGAAGTACGGGACAGCCATGGACGATGGTATTAGAACGCTCAGATGTCTTTTCTTATGGGGACAGGGCCTCTAGTGACAGATTCCCCTAACTGAGGGGGCCGAGGCAGCTGATCTGAAATGCGAGTGCTGGTGCCTGCTTCTTACGATGCCAGCAGTTCTGCACCTGGCTGTATAAACCAGGAACAAAACCTAAATGCCCAGTGAGCTGTGGGAGCATCCCTCCTGCTAGTCGGTGACCCACCACCCCTCTGTAACTCCACACACCCCTTCAAGGGTCTTTATTATACCCAAGAAATAAGCAACACCTAGGACATTCTACACCAGGTAGATTTCTTAAGTTGTAGAGAAAGGACAGCAATTCAGTCACCTGCCCTTGCCTTCATTAGCAACAGCTTGGGATGCTGGGTGTAGAACAGGAAGACAAGATAGGAGGACTTCCCTAGAATAAATATCCCAATGGGACGCCTACCACATAAATGCCGGAGCAAATGAGTACTGGGTGGGCCTGGCAAGTGTGTCTGTGTGTTTAAGGAAGAGCAGCAGCGCCTCTCTAATCCGCAGCAAGCTGCCCGGTCCCTTAGGCAGCCTGAGATGATCTGCAAACAAGGAACATTTTAAAAATAAATTCTTCCAAACTACTTAAAATATCCTAACATTACAAAAAGTCTTTTTTGTTTTGTTTTAAATTCCTATAACCTTTCTCCTAAGCAGAGCAGAAAACGTCAATGCACGATCTATTCCAGAGAGAACATCTTCCTTTAAAGTTTTAAATTCTAAGGCAAACACAGGAAGGGAGAGGCATAGAAATCCTTGGCAATTCCCTACAAACCTCTAAACAGAGGAATGTTTTCAAAGTATAAACTAATTTTCTCAAGCTGTAAGCTGTCAGAGGCCTGCTGCTGTGGGCCGGAGAGGGGAGGTGAGCTCGGTGTGGGATCGGAGCGATCGGTACTCAGTGTTAGGCAGATGGCACAGTGAAAAGACGTGCTTGGTGCGTGTGCGGACAATGGCACGGGGCTGGGTGCAATGCTGCTCCAGCTATGAGACCTGGCGTGTTCCAAGCTCTATGCCTGGGTGCTCTGCTTTCCTCTGAAGGAAGGTACATCAAACTTCAAACCTCAGGTCTGTCTGATTCCCATGTCAACAAAACCCACCTGTAGAAGAAACTGTTTCCATTAATGGTTTTAATGTTCCTTTTTGATAATTCTTAATTTAAAATACAAGGTGTGTTCACCACTGCAAAAAAAAAACATATTATGCACTACATTGGTTAATTTATGATGAAGAAGCATCCTTAATTACAATATCCAATTGAGCAAGGCTGTTCTTAAACCCAGAGGGTATCTCTAGTACTTAAATACATAGCAATGAGTCTAACATTCCATGTCACCCAACATGAAAATCAATAATAGGAATAAAGGCACAAATTAATTAAATCAAGAGGGAAACTCAAGGCTGATCCTGAAAACCTTCACAAATTTACAGACTAAATGATGAGCGCCGGAAGATAAGCAATGCAAATTTCCAACCTCTAATATGAATTCCAAGGACTAGACCTAGTTTACCAGATGCTGTGAACAATTTTTAAACGCACTTTATAAAGCTTCATATATTTTAGGCATAACTGCCCCCCAAAAAGGGATTAACCTGGAAACACTCATTTAGCTTTTCAAATCAGTTACTTGGCCCACTGACAGCCTATCTCATGCTGGCAAATTCAGCTTCTGTGTGTGATCTTCTATCAAGTTCTCGAAAACCAGAGGACCGGAGATCTCCCCAGGACTCTCCCTGCAGCACAGGCGCCTCTGCCTCCAGGGGAAGCAGGGGGTTCTGCCCGGGCAATTTAACTCTTTAAAAATCAAATGAAGAGTGTACTCAGGCTACACTCAGAAACACACATTCAATATAATCTGTATCATAATGCACTCAATTGGTAAACTTGATATTACTCATTCCTTGAATACATACATTCACTGAAAAATGGTCAAAGATTAAGCAAATTAACTGTTTTTGCTAGTAACCATTTACTTTGTAAAATTATGCTTATGATTTAAATGGGAAAAGAAAAAAGTACATTTATCTCACCTTTCTATAACAAATATTTCATATTTTATACATAACACATTTAAAAATATGTAAACAATTTTTATTAATTACCACGTCTTTAAGTATCTGAAGCAATCACTAATATGATACTCTCCTTAAAAATGTTATTTGAATTTCTAAGAATGTCATATGAAATCATTTTATTTGGTCTTAAGGTTACTAAAATCTGTTTAAATAGCTATCAAACCATCCTCATTGCTATGCCAACAATTCCTGTTCTTCATGTATATGACACACTTTACTACTTTACGTAAGTGAAGTGTAAAAATGCACGGCAGAGATCAACTATATTCAACATGAAATATAAATTCGCCAATTGCTCATTTTTAGTTAGATTAAGTCTCCTGGTTCTAACACTTCAGCTGTGCTTTAACTCTGGACATTTTCCTGTCACACCTTGTGGGGACTGCAGCTCAAGCCAGAATTACCAGTAAACTGTAACATATGAGGAAAACAAGTATGTTATTCAAACCACTTAGTAAAGATTTTAATTTTAATCATTTTTAAAATAACATATTTTAAGTAATAAGAACATTTAGGAATGATGTGCATTTTTAAGATGATATGGAAATGGTTCAACACATTTGCATTTGGATAACTTCCCCACCATGGGATGTAACATCATTAATAGGAATATTGATTTCAATTAATATACTTGAACGTAATATCAAATATTACCTTTGAATTAGACATAAACTACTACTAACACAACCCATGTTATCTCTTCTAAAATTTGACCTTCAGATATAAAAAGTTGACTAATACAATGAATAAAATAGATATATTTCTCCATATTTTTTACTAATTCATACAACTTTTAATAATCTAAAGTACAGACAAAACAATTATGATATCTGTAAACAGTCAGAAAACTTAAGTCTTAAATAAATCTTAAGTCTATAAAAACTTATTGACTGCCAATCTTCACCCAAACAGAACACAAAGATTTAATATACAACCTATTCCCAAGAGAAAACCTTGCCTTTAGTTTGGGGGGAGGGAGATGGGGAGTGATAAAATATTTATTAATTGAGGCAATATCCAGATTTTGATCACATTAGAGTAAACTTTTATGCTAAACTGTTTGGGTCTTTTTTGCTCTAACAGAATTTTAATCGTGTGTTTTTCCCCATTAAAGAGTTTTATTATTTCATCATTACATTTTTAAAAAGTCTTTGCAAGTAAAAAACAATTTACTTTAAATTATTTTTAAAGCTTCTCTGTCCTACTTCCTGGGAAGGATCACATATTGCTTCGCAGTTATAACACATCATCCCACTACTTCAGTGGTTCTCAACCTTCTGGCCTTTAAATGCAGTTCCTCATGTTGTGACCCAACCATAAAATCATTTTCGTTGCTACTTCATAACTGTCATGTTGCTACTGTTATGAATCGTCATGTAAATATCTGATACGCAGGATGGTCTTAGGCGACCCCTGTGAAAGGGTCGTTCGACCACCAAAGGGGTCGCGACCCACAGGTTGAGAACCGCTGCTCTGCTTGCTTTAACAGTAAACTCTAACTAGTGGGAGATGGTATTGTGTGCACACAGAGGAAGGCAGAGACCAGCAGTGAGTCACCGATGTGTGAAGTTCACATTGTTTAATGAACAGCGAACTGGAGACTCTTCAGAATGAATCAATTAGGTGAATGGGTTAAAACTTTTTTAAGTAAGGGAACTTTTCTTGCATCAGTCACATTTAAGAGTTGGAGTGTTTCTCTTTAAACTAGGAGTCTCTCCCAATGCGATGTGGAGGACATGTGTGTGAGATGGAAGTCTACGCTCAGATGTTACAATTTTACTCGTAATTAGGAAGCTGCATGGCCCTGATGGAATGAGACTAACAGGCTCCACAGCTTCCACTCCAGCACAGAATCAAAGACCCACACAGACAACTCCCTGCAGTCCAGGGTCATGCCCTCTGGCAGTGAAAGCGAGGAAGCTCGTCCTGGTTATACCTGAAGAGACCTAAAAGAGTCAGGCTCTATAGCCAAGATGACTCACTACATAAAGAAGAAACTTAAAGAAGGGCCATGGAATGTATTAGGGGAAAATTCATACAACTTATTAGAAGAGGCTCCTTTTACATTTTAAACTTTCCCAAAGGAAGATGGAAAGATATGGCTACAACAGACACCCATTCCTACTTGTGATTTCTCATGGAACATCACTCTTCCTCATTAAACAAGGTCAGCACTAAGGGGACAAGAGCATGCAGTTGTCTTACAATCCAAAGCCATGGAGGGATAGGTGGGGTTGGCGATGACTGACATGATTCAGACAGGTCGCTAGGACCAAATACACATTCAGACAAATAAAATACCTAGAAAATGAAAAATGCTGGTTTGGCAGAGGGCTCGTCCAGCCAACAAGAGCGACACATACCTTAAGGACTTCCATGGGCACCTGGGCGGCAGAGGGAAGGGTGGTGGGCACGCTGACGTTGATGGCTGGCGTCGGACTCGCAGGCACTCGCTGCTGCATGAATTGGGCCGCCTGCAGCCTCTGCTGCTGCTCCCTGCGCTCCTGCTCCTGCATCTGCTCACGCATGAGCTGCTGGCGTAGCAAGATACGTGATGTCATGCTGGAGGAGCTTAGCGGAGGCTTGGAGGCCCCAGGATGCTCCTCGGAACTGCTGTGAGAAAACCAAAGAAAAAAAAAGCACTTTTAGTTCCCTAATGAGACCTTTAATTTGCAATTGGGGTATCCTAACTTGTATGATACCCCATGAAATGAACCTGTGCAATTGTAATCAAGCTGCAGAGTAGTCTCCACATAACTGAGAATCGTGCGGTGACAGAAAGGAAGTCATTAGCAGTTGAATTAAAATAAGTCATCTTGATTACATTGAGGCATTTTATCATGTGGCTGAGAAGCGATGCACACAATGGCACCCGTTTCCTACATGTAAAAGTGAATTGCTTGATTTGCTTTTTTATAACCGAATCTAACCAAATAACTACTACGTGTTGTCCCAATTCCTTGAAGATGTCTGAAATGTTTACTAACATGGAGTACTTTAAAGGAAAGGTGCATTTCGCCAATGGGGTCATTTTTCGAAGATACAGGAAGTAAAAATCATTAATGAAAGAAGTACTTGAAGGAAAATATTCACACTGAACTTGACCTCAGCCCTTGGGAAAGGGGCAGAAGCTGGCTGGACACCCAGCTCCTCTGCCTGGTTCTCTCTGTGCATGCCTTCTGATGCACGCTGGCGTGCCCTTTCCTAACCGCTCTGCGAGTTCCCCAGGAAGCTGACTTCTCCTGGCAGGGGACTGACTCTTCCCAAAATTATTTCTAATGCTTAGACACTAGTCACAAGTGATGAAGAAATGACTTCCTAACTGTCCTAAATATGGTTTTCAATCACTTATCTTGCCAGTTCTATGACATTAGCAGTTATTAACACATCCAGAACAGAGGGATGACAATAGGTGTTGCCCGATTATCCATTTATGAACATGGGAGGTGTTTTTGAAATTTTCATTGCATCATTATATTTTAAAGCCCTAGCTCAGAAGGGTTTTGTGAAAATTAGATAAAATAATAAAATAATTCACATAAATCTCCTAGTTCCGTGGTCGGCAAACTGCGGCTCACGAGCCATATGCGGCTCTTTGGCCCCTTGAGTGTGGCTCTTCCTAAGCCTTAGGAGTACCCTAATTAAGTTAATAACAATGTACCTACCTATATAGTTTAAGTTTAAAAAATTTGGCTCTCAAAAGAAATTTCAGTCGTTGTACTGTTGATATTTGGCTCTGTTGACTAATGAGTTTGCCGACCACTGCCCTAGTACAATGAGCACCATACCATGTATTATTGCCTCAATAAATAGACACTGTTGCTGTAATTACTTAGAAAATTTAACTGTTTTTTATTTCCATTTTTTATTAATCATACTTTATTAATTGTATCTTTTTTAAATTATGTCTTATTGCTTAAAGTATTACAAAGAGTATTACATATGTCTCCTCCGCCCCCCTTGACATTCCCCCAGCCTCCCCTACCCCCCAGTGTCTTATGTCCATTGGTTATGCTTATATGCATGCATACAAGTCCTTCGGTTGATCTCTTATTGTCCATAAAAACATATATGATCTTAAAATACAGTAGGAACAGAAGGATATGTTTATAGCGTCTTACAACATGGGATTATTTTTCATACTTAAAGGACTATGCCTTTGTCCACTTTTACTAAAAAAACTAACAACAGGAATGAGGTTTAGATTTAAGCTGCCTGAAGGGCTAAAACTGAAACAGAGGGATTTTCCTCACACACAAAACTGCAGTCAGAAGCCCTCAGTGATGCCAAAGGGAAGTGTATTGCGTTGGGATGGAGTCTGAGAGGCTCTTGGCCTCTCGCAATGTGCTTTTCTAAAAGCTATGTTCAGGACAAACACTGCAAAACCTTAGCATCTGGCAATGGAGAAAGGTGACATTCGAGAAAAGATTCACTCCTGTGTCACTTCAAGGGAAGCAGCTTTTTTGACCATAAACCCCAGTATTGTCTTTACCTTCTAACAAAACAACAAAATAAAGCCTTTAAATCATCGACCATCCTCATGAATTCTTTCAAACTCTGCAAGTGAGGATGAAGAAATGTCTATGCTTGTCCTGCCCACACTCCCAGAAACGCCATCACAGAGGGCAGGCAGTTTACCTATTTACCTGTTTCCCTACTGTGGCAGGTTCATATAATGTAACACTACGCAGCCATTACAATGGTAGAGAAATATATGTATTGTTCTGAATAAAAACTATACAATATAATCTACTTATTTTTATTTGTTCTTTTAAGGGATATTTTATTTGTTACATATTTTATTTTCTTGAAAAGGACTTAAAATTTATTTTTTAATCAGTTTACATTCAATATTATTTTGTATTAGTTTCAGGTGTACAGAATAGGAGTTAGACAACCATATACTTTACCATTTGCAATAGCACAGATGGACCAAATAAGTCATTCAGAGAAACACAAATACCATGTGATTTCACTTATATGTGGAATCTAATGAACAAAATAAATGAACAAACAAAACAGAAACAGACTCATACACACAGAGGACAAATAGTTGCCAGAGGGGAGGTGTTTGGGGGACTGGGTGAAAAAGAAGGGATTGCCCTGGCCAGTGAGGCTCAGTTGGTTGGAGCAACATCCCATTCACTGACGGGTTGTGGGTTCGATTCCAGGTTAGGGCACATACCCAGGTTGAGGGTTCGATCCCCGGTCGATTCCCAGTCAGGTCATGTACAAGAGGCAACTGATCGATGTTTCTCACATTGATGTTTCTCTCTCGCACCCTCTTCCTTTCTCTCTTTCTCTAAAAATCAATTAAAAATTTTTTAAAACATATCCTCCAGTGAAGATTAAAAAAAAGGTGAAGGGATTAAGAAGTACAAATTGGTAGTTATAAAGTAGTCACAAATTAGGAGATGTAAAGTACAGCATAGGGAATACAGTCAATAATATTGTAATAACCATGTATGTATGGTGTCAGGTGAGTAGTGGAAGTATTGGGGGGACAAAATATAATAAACTTAGAAAAGCCAGATGCAAAATAGTATTCAAGATATGATCCAATTTTTTAAATGTTCACTAATTAAGAAGTATAATGATACCATCACTCTGGACCATTGCTGGTAAGTATCACTACAGTCTTTTAGGAGCACAACTTAAAGGTCTTATCAAAAGCTGCGAAACTGTTCATACAATCTGATTCAAAATTTCATTCGTGGACAACATTCCTAAGAAAATAACTCAAAATGTAGAAAACCTGACATTACAAAGCTATTTTCAAGTTGCTAAATGTTCTGTGCACCTAAATTTGTTGAGAATGGTTAAGTAAATTAGGAGGGAATTGCTGGCCAAAGGGCACAAATATTTTGTTACAAGATGCTTAAGGTCTGAGGACCTGAGGTACATACAGTGTAGAGGCTGTATGGAATGATTCTTCTCATTAAAAAAAAAAAGGTAACTATGTGAGGTGACAGATGTGTTATGTAGCTTGATTTTAACCATTTAACCAATACATACATGAAGATATATACCCAAATATATGCCATTTGTGTCAATTATACCTGAACAAAGTTGGGGGGAAAATAAAACCATTTAAGAGATTTAAGCATAAAATAGGTTTTAAAAAAGTAGATCAGAATACATGAATGATACATGAGTTTGATAATACAGCATTTTTAAAAATACAGACTACAAAGTGGAAAATGCTTGTAATAAGAGTACATTAAAGAGGATACAAAAATGTACTTACATTCTAATTTAAAATAAGAACAGCCTGTGCATGCTCACAGTACGCATGACTACAGGGAATGCCTAGAGATGTTCCTAGTTGCCACGTTGCCAGAGTCGGAGTGGAATTACAGATAAATTTCTTTTTCAGTCTTTCCCCTGCTAAGCTAAATAAAGCCATAATGATTTTTCCGAATGGCAAACTATATGCTGCTAATTTCAGAAAATGAAAAAATGGCCTGAGTGATCAAAGTCACCATTTGGCTAGAAAAGGGGACTGGATCCGAGGGGAACGCAGGGACTGCCTCCAGCGCAGGGGTGCCCGGAGTCTTCAGAATCCAGAGCAACCCAACCCTCTTTTTTTCATTGTTTCCTCCAGACACACATAGAGTGGACAATGTTGATACCCTGCTTATGAGTAAACCATGTACTCATCCACATAATAAAAGTAGCCATTACTCAAAATAATCTATTCACCTGGTAGAAGATCAGCAAAACTAAACTGTACTAGTACTTCCCTAAACGAAGAAAAAAAGGGCAGGGTGGGGCACTATTTAAAATAAATAAATAAACAGTCTTAGCATTCAGAGCCTGTCAGGTTAGGACATTTCCAGAGATGCTGATCCTTGTGATAGGAACATGAGCAACTCTTTGTGCAGCAGCAAATGCAGCTGTGGAATAATTGCACTAATTAGCTGCCCACTGGCTGTGATTTGGCGGGGGGAGGAGGGGGGAGAGGATGAGGTCGGGGGAATCCTGTCAATTAACAGTAAAGCATTCTGGAGACTCCTTAAGTTAAAATTACAAGTTACCAACCACATTAAGGCTTTGGACTTTAAAGTTGATAACAATGTCATTTAAAGTATTTACTGAACCTCTCACAGCCAGTTGGCCTGGAGGTCAAATCCCCCTAGTATTAACTACAACAATCAAGGCTTAACTACAACAAGACTGCGCACAAAGACCACTAGGGGGTGCACCAAGAAAGCATAAAAAATGCGGAGACAAAGAAACAGGACAAAACTGTCAATGGAGGATATTGAGTTCAGAACCACACTTTTAAGGTCTCTCAAGAACTGTCTAGAAGCCACCAATAAAGTTATTGAGATCTACAAGAAATCTAATGAGACCCTCGATGTTATGATAAAGAACCAACTAGAAATTAAGCATACACGGACTGAAATAACGAATATTATACAGACTCCCAACAGCAGACCAGAGGAGCGCAAGAATCAAGGCAAAGATTTGAAATGCGAAGAAGCAAAAAACACCCAACCAGAAAAGCAAAATGAAAAAAGAATCTGAAAATACGAAGATAGTGTAAGGAGCCTCTGGGACAGCTTCAAGCGTACCAACATCAGAATTATAGGGGTGCCAGAAGATGAGAG